TGGTTCCATTGTGATTATTTATTTATTTATTTATTTTTGAGATGGAGTCTCACTCTGTTGCTCAGGCTGGAGTCCAATGGCATGATCTTGGCTCACTGCAACCTCTGCCTTCCAGGTTCCAGTGATTCTCCTGCCTCAGCTTCCTGAGTAACTGGGATTACAGGCGCGCACCACCATGCCCAACTAATTTTTATATTTTTGGTAGTGACGGGGTTTCACCATGTTGGCCAGGCTAGCCTCTTAGCTGCTAACCTCAGGTGATCTGCCCGCCACGGCCTCCCAAAGTGCTGCGATTACAGGCGTGAGCCACCGCGCTCCGCCCTGTGTGAATTTTAAAATGCTTTTTTCTTTATTAATATGGTGACTCACATTGATTGATTTTTAGATGTTAAACCATTACTGGAATAAACCTAAGTGATGATATGTCGTGCCTTTTACATATCTGGATTAAGTTTGTTAGCATTTTGCTTAGGACATACTGCAACTGTGTTCATAAAAGATACTGACTTGTAATTTTCCTTTCTTTTGAAATCCTTGTTAGGTTTCAGGGCCAAATTAGGTTAGCCTTATCAGATGGGCTGGGGAGGGTTTGCTTTTTTTCTGGCTCTGAGATTGTGTAACATTTGAAATGATTTGTTTTTAGAATGTTTGGTAGAACTTCTTGATAAAGTCATTGGGACCTGAAGTTTTCTTTGTGAGAAGATGGATTTTCTATAAAATGTTGTTAATGGTTATAGGAGTGTTTAGGTTTTCAGATAATTCATTCATTAGTTTTGAATAAATTTCCTATGACTTTTTACATAGTTAAATTTCAGGTTAATTATTATAAATTATTAATGATATTTTTAAGTATCTTAATTGCAGATATTTGTCTCATCTGCAGTTAATTTCCCTTTTTTTTCAAATATTGTTTATAAGTTTTAGCTCTTGCAAAATCTTGTTGGTAGTTTTTCACTTTTTAAATGTTTTTTCAAAGAATAATTTTGGTTTTGTTGACCTTAGATATATGCTTATTTTCAGTCTTTATTAATTTCTGCCCTTTATTATTTTCTTTTTTTCTTTTTTCTTTTTTTTTTTTTTGAGACTGTTGCCCAGGCTGGAGTGCAGTGGCGCGATCTCAGCTCACTGCAAGCTCCGCCTCCCGGGTTGACGCCGTTCTCACGCCTCAGCCTCCGGAGTAGCTGGGACTACAGGCGCCCGCCACCTCGCCCGGCTAGTTTTTTGTATTTTTAGTAGAGACGGGTTAGCCGGGATGGCCTTGATCTCCTGACCTCGTGATCCACCCGCCTCTGCCTTCCAAAGTGCTGGGATTACAGGCGTGAGCCACCGCGCCCGGCCTTATTATTTTCTTATTTTACCTTTCTTTGGATTTAATTTGCAGTTCTTTTTATAGCTTCTTTTTGTTGTTGTTGTTGTTTTTGTTTTGTTTTGTTTTTTGAGACAGAGTCTTGCTTTGTCGCCCAGGCTGGAGTGCAGTGGCACCATCTCAGCTCCCTGCAACCTCTGCCTGCCGCGTTCCAGCGATTCTCAAGCCTGGGCCTCCTGAGTAGCTGGGACTATCGGCACGTGCCACCACACCTGGCTAATTTTTGTATTTTTAGTAGAGACGGGGTTTCACCATGTTGGCCAGGCTGGTCTCCACCTCCTGACCTCAAGTGATTCACCTGCCTTGGCCTCTCAGAGTGCTAGGATTATAGGTGTGAGCCACCGTGACCAGCGCCCTCAACCTTTTTTTTTTGAGACAAGGTCTCACGCTGTTGCCCAGCCTGGAGTGCAGTGGTGTGATCACGGTTCACTGCAGCCTTGACCTCCCTGGCTCAAGCAATCTTCCCACCTCAGCCTCCTAAATAGCTGGGAATATGGAGGTGTGCCACCGTGCCCGGCTGATTTTTGTATTTTTTGTAGAGATGGGGTTTTGCCATGTTGCTCAAGCTGGTTTTGAACTCCTCGGCTCACTGTGCCCAGCCTATAAGGAACTCTTATAGAGGTAGATTTTATTCATTATTAATTTGATAAGGTTTTAAATCTGGTGTAAGCTGGAACATTTAGTCTATTTTTATTCAGTGTTATTACTAATCTAGTTGGATTATTTCTCCTGACTTCCTTTTTTTGTGTGTGTTTGTTTTTCCCATCCTGGGTTTTCCTTTCCTTTGTTGCCACCTTTAGGGTTAAGTGATCATTTTTTCTCATTACATTATTCCTCTTTACCATTTGGAAATTATATACATTATTTGTTTTTTTAAAAGTTGTTACTCTAGAAATTGTAAAATGCAAGTGTAAAATTTATTAATGTCCAGATTCTACTCCTGACCATCACAAGGCTATTAGGACACTAATCCCAGTGATAGCTCACCTCCCATTTATGTTATTATTTTTGTGTATTTAGTTTTTTAAAAACCTCATTCTTTTTACTGTGGTATTAAAAACTTTTTTAAAAGATAGGAGCATTTCTTCTGATTTTTACTGTTTTATACAGTTAACTTGGATTTAACCACATATTTACCAACTTTTTTTGCTCTTGATTCTACCCTGCATTTTAGACCTTCCAGCATGTATCCCTTTCTTTCTTCCTGAACTATATGCTTTGGAATTTCCTTAGGGAGCATCTGCTGGTGACTTGCTCTTTCAGTTTTTCGTTGTTTGGAAATGTTTTTGTCTTACCCTCAGTCTTTAGCTGGTTGTAGAATTCTCTGTTGAGACACCTCCCGGCATAGAAGATGTGTTTCCACTGTGACCGGCTTCCATTGTTGCCATTGTGATAGCAGCCGGCCGTCTACTTGTTGCTCTTTAGAAGTCATCTTTTTCCTTGATTGCGTTTAATCTCTGGTATTATGTTCTTTTACTAGGACGTACCTAAGTGGATATTTTAGAGTTTATTCTGCTTGAGATTTGATGGGATCACGATGGCCGTGATTCAAATCATTTGTCCCCACTACCAAGCCTCAGTGATACCTCATCCCCTTTCATAGGATCCCTTCAGGAGACTGCTTTCTGGACTCTTTGCCTCCCATTTCTTTCCTCTACACCTCCATGATGCCAAAGGGGATAATCTTCCTAAAACACAGCTAGGCAATGCTGTTTTCCTGCTTTGAGACCCTTAGTTTGTAGAGATCCTTTGTTTGCAGGATACAAGTCCATTTTTTTAGCCTGGCACATTCTATCCCTGTGCCCAGAGCAACCACTGGCAAATACAGGGGTGCCAAGTACATCGACATGGAATGGCCCTAGTGATAGGAAATAAAGTTGATGACTGGCTGGATTTGAGGTTTAGGGAGAGGAGGACCAGAGTTTGATGCGCAGGTGTGTGGTATGATTGTGTGGACTGCACCGTCCACACCAGATGATTTGCAAAGAAAAGGACTTAGGAGAGGAAAGAGGGGATAAGGAGGTGGAAGGAGAGGATGAGTCTAATGTAGGCTTTGTTGAGGTGCAGATTTGGTGAGATGGAGGATGTTTTTCTAGCAGGCAGTTGAAGGAACTGGTTATGAGATGGTGCATTTTCCCAGCCCTGAGGTCCAGTTGAGGATGCTGTTAAAGAACAGCACTGGCCAGGCCCTGTGGTTCATACCTGTCATCCCAGCCCTTTGAGAGGCTGAGGCAGGTGGATCGCCTGAGGTCAGGAGTTCGAGACCAGCCTGGCCAACATGGTGAAACTTGTCTCTACTAAAAATACGAAAATTAGCCAGGCACGGTGGTGGGCGCCTGTAGTCCCAGCTACTTGGGAGGCTGAGGCAGGAGAATCACTGGAACCCGGGAGGCAGAGGTTGTAGTGAGCCGAGATCATGCCACTGCACTCCAGCCTGGGCAACAGAGCGAGACTTCATCTCAGATTTAAAAAAAGAACAAAAGAACAAAAGAACAGTAATTAGCAGTTTTGTGTATCTCTTATGTGCCAGGTGCTTGGCAAGCCTTTGGTAGTTGTGATTCATTTAGGCTTCCTCTGCCTTTAAGATAGCTACTAGTTTCCCTGTTTTGGAGATGAAAAGACTGGGCCTTAGGGAGGCTGAGCATTGTTAGCTAAAAATGTTTGTGTGCTGTATTTGCCCAAGGCACCAGTGAACTTCTTGTCAGATCATGGTATCACCTATAATGAATGTAAACACCTCAGGATTCCAGGACCCACTGCAGTCAGAACATCCAGGAAAGGGTTTGGGAATCTGTATTGTTAATATACACATTAGGAAATTCTTAGGATCGGGCAGGTCTGGGACTTTCTGGTCTCAGTGCTTCCTGTTTAGTTCCAAATCCACATTCTTAGCCCCTGCGGTGCGTGCTCCATGGCGGTAGCCAGCGTTTTGATCAGGGCTTGTGGAAAACTTTTGTTAGCTGTGATCTTTGTGGTTTGCGGAAAGATCCCATTTTATTAGCAAGCAGGAGATTTAAAAAATAGCCTGAAGTCCTACCATGATAGTTGTTTTATTAGCGATTTGAGGAAACTAACATTTATTAAGTGTTTATTAGCAGTTCTCTCAGTAATGAACTTGATTATAATTTTATGGTGAAAAAACGGGTCCTCTGCTAAATTTCTCCAAGGCCATAGATCTGGTAAAAGGCTCAGCCAAGGGTTAGACCCAGAATTGCCTAATAGTAAAAATAGCTCACACTTATTTAGTGCTTACTATTTTACCAGGCTATTACATGTATTAACCCATCTAATCTTCATAGCAATTCTGCAGAGGACGTTTCTATCATTATTCCCACTTTACAGATCAGAAACCGAAGCACCGTGGGGACTAATTTGCTCAATTTCACATGCCTAGTAAGTGGGAGAGCCAGGCCCTGAATCCCCGCATTCTAGCTCCAGAATCCACACCTCTTATCACTGCCCAGTCCTGATTTGCTGTGACTCGTGTTCTTCTTCTCACCTTCGTAGTAATCAGCATGAAGAATGACTTTAAAATGATAGCAAATTTATATGTGTTAATGTAAATTAGTACAAGACCCAGGACATTGCTTCTGATGTGCTTGGGGATGACTAGTGTCATTTACTTCCTTTTCAGTTCGTTCCCACATGCAGGGTAGCACAAGGAGAATGGGTGTCATGACAGATGTCCACCGGCGCTTCCTCCAGTTGCTGATGACCCATGGCGTGCTAGAGGAATGGGACGTGAAGCGCTTGCAGAGACACTGCTACAAGGTCCATGACCGTGAGTACCGTTTCCCTGTTCCCAGGGCGCTCTGGTGCTGTGTTGATCAGGGACCAGTGACATAGGTACAATACCATGTAAGTGGTTAACCGGTACTCCTGAGCTGAGCATTCAAGCCTCTTCACAGTCTTACACAGGCCCATCTTCCATTTTTTTTTTTTTTTTCGAAGTAAACCTGACATTTAGCTCTGTGGATAAAAACTTGGAGTCTAAAGCTGTATAGTTGTGGTTCACACCAAGCTTCCAGGACCTGCCCCAGTCTCAGTTTCTGTGTCTCTAAAGTGGGGATAGTAATTGTACTTAACACGTAAGTAAGTGCGTGGTTCAGGGAATTGAGAGACATGATATGTACAAGACACCTGGCACAGAGACAGTGCCTGGTGGGCTATTGATGGACACAGGGCAGCTTGGCCGAGTGCAGTGGCTCACATCGTTATCCCCGCACTCTGGGAATCAAGGTGGGAGGATCGCTTGAGGCCAGGAGTTTGGGACCAGGCTGGGCAATGTAGCGAGATTTTTTTTTGTTGTTTAAAAAATATTTTTTTATTTAAATAAAGAAATTTATTTTCTCTCTATTTTTTTATTTAAAAAAAGAAAACAAATTATAAAACAAAAAAATGGGGCAGCTTAGCATAACACTTAAGGGCACAGCCTTAGACTGGGCCAGACCTGGAGAGTGTGTCCCTGCCCTGTGTCAGCTGAAGGCATTTGGGGCATCTTAGGGGACCACTGGGAGGGGCAAATAAGAAGCTGTTGGAGACAGGGCCTGGTGCTAAGTTCTTAGTAACTGGAGATGGCAGAAGAAGCAGTAGAATCAGTGTTGATAGATCAGTTGAATTAGTATTGGCAGATACTGTTAAGTTGCCTGCCAGTATGGGTAGATCTTACTGATTAGATTTTATGCAGTGACAAAGGTGGTGAGTTATGCTTATTGTATGATGTGATTATGTTGTTTTTTGTGAAGTACAAAATGATTTTTCATTGGTTATGAATGCATTTGCATGTAAAGGCATAAAAGTGGACCGGAAGAAGACGCAGGACACTTGTGAGGTGCTTGTGAGGAGAAGCAGAGTGGGAGTGGGCTGTCAGCAGAGATCACAGGACCTTCACTTTTATCCTGTTATGTTCTTTTATTAAAAAGAAAAGTCTTGAAGCCAACGTGACATTATTAGCCTAACAACATGACATTAATTAGTGTGGTCTCATGGTTGTCACCTCTGATGAATGGGAATGCAGGCCTTTGGTTTTTATTCTGCCTTTCTCTCTGTATTTTTAATTTTCAAAAGAAAAATAGAAAAAATGACATAGAAGTGAGCCAAGCCAAGAGGTGTGAGAAAGACAGGGACCAAGTACACAGGCAAAGGGACACACAAAAAAGGCAAAAAGATGCTTTCATTCTTAGTCCTCAGGCATCCTGTAGCTCCTTGCAGTGAGATGTGACAGGGCGAAGGGACACCAGAAAAGGTGTCCCTCCTGTCTCCAAAGGCAAGCACCTCATGAGCGTATTACATCTTCTTCCCGGCCACTTTTTTGCCTTTGCGTGCAAATGCTTTCATAAGTGATGAACATCATTTTGTACTTTTCAGAATGTGAAGAGACACGAGAAAAGGTAGGTGCCACATTCGGAGCACTGCAGTTTCTGCAGCCTGTTAGAGTTCAAAGCCTGATCCCAGAGAGGTGAGTGGTGAGTGGGAGTAAGAAGCGGGAGACAGAACAGAAACAAATACTCTTTCAAGGTGTGCAAAGGAAGGAGAAAAAAGGTGGTGTATTAGACAGAGAAGAAGCAGTTTGAAGTGCCTGGAGAGTAGCATCTACGTTCTCCGGAGCACTGGTCCATGGAGGTGTTCCATGGGGAATTCTGGGAGCTCAGTAATGCCAGGAACAGGTTAGCCTGTTGAACTGTGTTTAATTCTGTGTATCCAAACCTAATTGACCTACTGATAACTTATCCTGGGAATCCCTAGACAAGAATATATGATGTGTGGGAAGAGAATACATTCTTTTCGTGTGTAGGTTTGCAGATCGTGAAGAACCCTGTACACCATAGTAATGGTTTTTTACTTCTGCGGACAGTGTGGACCTCTTGAAGTATTCAAAGCAGAGAGTGAGATAGACAGTGCTAAGTTTGAGAACCATCCCCGTAGTGAAAGTAGATGTGCCGCAGTTGCACCGGCAGAGAAGGATCTTTGGTGAGAGACTTTTCTATTGAAAGGGGATGTTATACCTGTTAAGCTAGTTTCTCTTGCTCTTTAAAAAGCATGGCAGCGGTCGGGTGTGGTGGCTCACACCTGAAATCCTAGCACTTTGGGAGGCTGAGGGGGATGGGTCACCTGAGGTCAGGAGTTCAAGACCAGCCTGGTCAACATGGTGACACCCCATCTCTACTAAAAATACAAAAAGTAGCCGGGTGTGGTGGTGCATGCCTGTAGTCCCAGCTACTTGGGAGGCTGAGGCAGGAGAATCACTTGAATCCAGGAGGCAGATGCTGCAGTGAGCTGAGATCGTGCGACTGCACTCTAGCCTGGGCAACACAGCGAAACCGTGTATCAAAAAAAAAAAAAAAGCATGGTCGGACTTTAAACCTACCCCTCAATATCCTCCAGAGATGGCCATAAGAACACTTGTCTTCAGCCTGAGCAACATGGTGAAACCCAGTCTCTACCAAAAATACAAAAAGTTAGCCAGGTGTGCTGGCACACACCTCTGGTCCTAGCTACCCAGGAAGCTGAGGCAGGAGGATCGCTTGAGCAGGGGAGGTGGGGGTTGCAGTGAGCTGAGATTGTACCACTGCACTTCAGCCTGGGCAACACAGTGAGCCCTTATCTCAAAAAAAAAAAAAACAAAAGAATGCTTGTGTTAATCCTGAATCTCTTATTTGCATGACAATTTAGTCTTTTTCTCTTTTTTTCTCCCGTGAGTCTTGGCTGTAAACTTTAATGTTGGTGGGGAAGTTTCACAGCTCACTGCGAGGAGCCACATGATGCCTTGGTACTCAGACTGAAAGTGTTTTTGCCTTTATTTGACCTTTAAAATTGTTATGATCTAAGTTAGGAAAGTCCTGTAGAATGTGTCTAGGAATTGATTTATTCTTCACACTGTATACCATTTCTTTGCACCTAGATATGGTCATGGCCAGGGTGAACAGGGTAGAACAATCTGTGTTCTCTTATCCTCATTTAAGAAAAATGCCAAAAAACTTGTTACTGCATGTTCTTGTTATTAGGGAGATTTTAAACAAGAAATGACAGAAATTATCTAAACTTAAGTGAATACTCGTAAGACCCAATATTATTAATTTCCTATCTTTTGAAGAGATGGCCAGGAAAGTCCCCTTGTACCAACTAGAAAAATATTTAGCTTCTAGGAAAATTATGAAACAAAGGAGTGATTGAAATTGCAAGTTATTCTAATTGCCATTTCCCAGGGTGTTTGTCCGGTTTATCAAAGCACTTCTTATTCTGGGCTTTGGTTTGGGTTCTCTTCTTAGTGTCATTAAGGGGAAACAAAGTCCTCAATTCTCTTGGCTAGTGAAGAGTTTAGATTTTGTTCTCAAGTTCAGTGCAGACCTTGGGTCGAGCCTTTCAGAATGGCACTGGGGACCTGTGTTCATAGAGGACCTTAGATTTTTTGAGCCAGGGCTTGCATCCACACATATGTTCATTCAACCAGCAAAACTTCCCTAGAATCTCAAGTGAGCCAGGCCTCTGTGCTAGGGACTGGTGACTCAGAGATTAAATTTGTATTTTACCGTGGCTCTCATGAGTCATACAGACGAGGGGTCAGATGATTCCAATGTAGGCCTCCTTGATAGAAGTAGGCACAGGAGGCCTTGTGGGTGGTGGAGAAGGCTTGGGTTTGAGGTTTTCCACTTTTGGCCAGTATGGAGCGACAGGGCTCAATACACCTTCTTGCCTGAAACAATTCAAAAATGGACAAAATGTAAAACACCGGACATTGGTCAGTGAAGGACAGTGATCTTTTGAGAGATGGGCAATGATGGTTTCTTCTTCTCTTGACACTTGATGTGGTATCTTTTCTAACACTACTTCTCCAGTTCTCTAGATAACAACTGGGCATTCAACGATTCAGTTGAATTCTGACACTATCTGCCTGGAGTTAGCATCAGATCCCACAAGTTAAAGGGCTCGGTGTCACAAGACTGACCCAATTTAAGACGCTAGTTTTAAGTCCCGGGCTACCTGTACTTCTGACCAATGGCTATACATCAGGGGTTCCCATAACTCCCTCTTCGGGTTTGATAATTTTCTAGAATGATTCATAGAACTCAGGAAAACACTGTACTTACATTTTTACTTACGTGGTTTTTTATAAAGGCTGCAACTCAGGAACAGCCACACAGGAGAGATCATAGGGCTAGCTGTGGGAGGTGGGGGTGGCATGGAGTTTCCGTGCCCTCTCTAGGTGCACCACCGTCTCAGCGCCTCCGTGTGTTTAATAACCTGAAACTCTCCAAATCCTGTTGTTCCGGGG